CCCCCCCGCCTTGCCTTGCCTTGCCAGACGCTCGATCATGGTCAACCGCGGATGGATCCCCCACGACATGAAGGACCCGAAGCTCCGGAGCGCCGGCAATCCCACCGGGCCGGTCGATGTGATCGGCATGCTCCGGCACCCGATTCGCGTGCGTGCTTGCGCTGGTTCATTGCCCCGCCCTTGCCCGGGGTCGAGCCGCACTGACCTTCGCCCTGCTGGCTGTGCCCTTCGCCTTTATCCGCCTGCCCCCCCTCCCCGTCTCCTGGCGCCCGGCCCTGCAGCCGTCCTCCTTCACGCCGGACAATGTCCCCGAAAAGGGCCAGTGGCACTGGATCGATGTCGGGCAGCTGGCTGACACGCTCCGGGCCGATCCCATCGTCATTGATGTCACTGGTGCGCGCCCGCCCCGGGCCCCCTCCCTGGTCCTCTCTCGCCCCGCCCCCATTGCACTCACCTGCGTGGTCTCTCTCTCTCTCTCTCTCTCTCTCCCTCTCCCTTGATCCCTTGCTCGCACACACGGTGCACAGACGCCAACTTCCCCGGCGGTCTGCCCATGGCCGACCAGACCACCGCCAACATCCGGAATAACCACCTCAGCTACGCGGTGACCTGGTACATGCTCAGCGCCTCCACCGCGGCCATGATCTTCCTCCTTTGAGGGCCGGCCACCCGGCTTCTGGCTGGTTTTTATGTACCTCGCCCCCCCCCCCCCCCCCCTCCTGAACGCCCCTCCCCGCCTCTCGACCAGGAGGCGCGGGCCTCCGTCCGCGGCGCGCCGACAGACGAGCCACTGGCAGGCCGCGAGGCAGAGGCCCGGCTCGGCTCGGCTCGAAGAGCGGGCGGGGCCGGGGGCAGGCACACGCCGCCGGCATATGGCGGCCACCGATGGAGACCAAATACACGCCCAAATCGAACACGACGAGGACCACCTGCCGACGCTTGCGGCCGCCACGATCGGGGCTGATCACATGGGCGCCGGCTGGCGCTGGTCTCTGGCCCACAACAGCCGAGCCGCCCCTTGTCCTTGCGCATGTCCCCCCGGCCCCCGGCCCCCGGCCCCCGAGTGTGTGCATGCATGCCCGGGCGCGGACGCGGCCGCCGGCGGTGATTGGTGCAGGCGAGAAAAAAGAGAAAACCCAAGCGAGCAGCAGCCCGGGGTGGCAGACATTGCGCCAGAGGGGGCCGGGGGGGGGGGGGGGGGGGGGGGCTCCTCTCGGCCTTTTCGGGAGGGGCGGCAAGAGCAGCAGGAAAAAAGGCCCGGATCAAAGGACAAAGGGGGGGGGGCATGTGCACTCGCGCGCGCGCGTCGCACGCGGCCTCGCAGCCAGGATGCCGGCCGAGGGGAGGGGGCCCGTGCCGCGTCTGAAGGGGCGCCCCCGCGCGATGGACCGGGCCAGATCGCCAGCACCCGCCCCCTTCCCCCCCCCCCTCCCTCCCCGGCTCTTTCTTCCTCTCCCCCTCCCCCTTCCCCGGTCTCCTCCCCCCTCCTCCTGGCGAAGGGCGCCTTGTCACTTTTTTTCCCTGATCCCCCCCCTCCCCTCCCCCCGCACCACCATGTCCAAGAAGGGCAAGGGCCTCCGTAATAAGGACTCCGCCAGCAGCAGGTGCGCCCCTGCCGCCGGGCCCGCGGCGTCAGCCCGGCGCCTGTCTCCCCTATGCCACCGGCCAACTGACCGGCTTCTTTTTGCGCCCCCCGCCCCGCCCCGCCCCGCCCCGCCCCGCCCCGGACAACCCACCAACCCCCGGCGCCGGCCCGGCACCACCCCAGCAATGCCTCCTTCCTGCTGGAGCGGACCGGCGTCTCGGCGCAGGCCGGCTTCGCCCTGTTCGGGGAGTTCACCGCGGCCGCCTACGACCTGGACCACAATGTGAATGTCCTGCTGAAGAAGCTCTCCAAGAAGAGCGAGATCACCCGGGCCAAGGCGCTGGAGGAGCTGCTGGAGGCCCTGGCCGCCATGGACTCGGAGGAGGTCGGCAAGCTGGCCCTGCGCTGGGCTTCGGACACCTTCGCCCGGGTCCGCGCGGACCCGGTCCCGCGGGTGCGCATCCTCGGCATGCAGATTCACGGGCGCCTGTGCCAGCGCCTGGGGCGCGCGGTGCAGGCCCATGTCCCGGCCCTGTCCGGGGCCTGGGTGGCCGCGCAGTTCGACACCTCCAAGGAGGTGGCCGCCGAGACGCGCGCCGGCCTGGCCGCGCTCTTCACCCCGGTGCAGTTCGAGCGCCTGGTCCGCCACTGCCAGCCGGACATCCTGGCCCGTGCCAGTGACATCATTCTCAGCGAGGATCCGACGCAGTTCTGTGCGTGGGCCGGCGCCCCTCGCCCTTCACCCTGCCTGCCCGCTCGATTTTTTCTGCCCCCCCGCCGGCGCAAGCGCCCCCTGCTGACACGCTGGCCCGCGCGCCGATCCCGGCCCCAGGCGACCCGAAGGTCTTTGACGAGCACGAAATCCGCTCGGTCTTCGAGCGGCTCCAGGTGGAGTCCCTGCTGGGCCTGTGCTCGCTTGTCGGTGCGTGCGCGCGCGCGCATGCGTGTGCTCCGCGCAGGCCACCTGCCCGTGGCGCCGGCGATGCATGCGCACATGCGGACGGCCTCCCCCGGCGGCTTGCCCCCCCACTCCCCGGGCATGGCTGCCGTCTGTCACCCGATTGCTCAACCCCTGCCATCCCTCACACACACACACACACACATGTGCCTCTTCCCCCCCCCCCGAACCGCCCCACACCCCCCTGGACTGCCTCTTTCTCGGCCCGTCCTCCGG